TGCAAAGCTACAATGCCTAATTTTTCCAGCATCACTCACCATACAGGGACTGAATGCCATTTACATCATCTTGAGAAAGGCGGAACTGGGCCAGGTCTGTTAATGGGTTGTAGACTGAGTACATCAAAGCTTCAGGGTTGGCCGAGTGCTGGAGACCCAGGGAATGGCCAAGTTCATGAGCAGCAACAAGGAATAAGTTGGTCCCTATTTAAGAAACATAAATAAGAGTTATTTATTCCTTCAATACATGTACATTACAAATGTCAGGTGTGTATTACATTTATTTACTTCCTGAAGGACAGGGCTTTTTTTGTTGTTTTTTTTGTTAATTGGTCAATTGACTGATTACACATTTAATGGAAAGCCAAGTGTATTTCAAAGCTTATTATTGACATTGATCTTGAGACAAAGTGTGCAGCCATATCCAAATACTCCTCTCACCAGCCTCAGGAGCCAATTAAGTTTATGAATACCAGGTCCCTTTTCCTGTACTCTAGAATGCAAAAAACTTACTTGTTTTACACATTATTAAATATCTCTCTTCATTTGTTAATGAAAAGCTAAACACTGTTCCAATGTATTAACATTTGCAAGTTACAGTCTAAGTTAAATGAATCACAGTTTCTTCATCTCAATTCTGAAATCATTAAACAATCTTACCACTGTTATTTGCCATTGCAATATTGTCTACATAATTTTCAGCCTCTTGATCATTATTCAGTATATATTGGGTCCAAAAATATTAATGATAGATGTCATAGGATTTACAAGATGGGTTTAAAACATAATATGCCCATTATGTCTAGTATTTGTCACAAACACTAGCTGTATTCAGATTTTTTTTTAAATATTATTGAAAAACTATTGTTCAGATTGGAAAGCATTGGGTTATCATGATTCACATAACAAGTAAGTCAACTTTACATTTACAAGTATTATTTGTGTAAACTTGTGATTCTAGCACAGTTCTCATTTGAAACTTTGTGGGAAGAAGTTGTTAATTCAACCAAGCCAAAAATGTTATCTAGCATTAACCTCACATTTATATTCTCTACTGAGATAATGTTTGCATTTTGATTATAAATCCCAATTAAATTTCAGAGGTAGTAGTATTTGTTTTAACCAATTATTTGAAAACTTTGGAAGCCATTCCTCAAGGTATACAGTTATGAAATGAGGNAGAGAGAGAGAGAGAGAGAGAGAGAGAGAGAGAGAGAGAGAGAGAGAGAGAAGGAGAGGTGACAAAAAGAGAGGTTACACTACTCTCCAAATTCTTAAGTTGAAAAATGTCTACCTCAGAATCATGAATACCTCAAAATATTCTCAAGACTCTCTATGTACTTGGAAAGTCTGTAAACACCATGATGACCCTCTGAGCAACTCATAAAATTCGTGGTGCTTGAAAGCTACCTGCAAGACTCTTACCTATATTAATATCCTCCCAAATTAGGCATGATAGAATAGTGTTTTTTCAGAAAAACTAGATTACGCAGCTTTAACAAAATCTAAAATCTTAGTGGCATAGCCACACTTTTTTTATTAAAAAAAAATCTACTGAAGTTTGGAGTGGTGGTCTAGCAATTCAATCTTATTCCATCTTGTGGAAACTCTCTCAGGACTTGCTTCTACAATCAGCACAGCAGAGAAGGGGAGATCACTTGGAGGAATTTGTACTGGCAATCAAATGTTTCCATCCAGGCTTGCTATTGGTCACTTCTCAGCACAATCCACTGGCCGGGACTTGTCAGATGCCACTGCCCACCCCTCCAAACCACAACTATAAGGAATTGGGCTGTGGGAAAACATAACCTTTCTGTGTGTGCAGAAGAAGAGAGAAGACTGTCCTTAGAAAACCCTATCATGGTATCACTGCTTTTACCTAAAACCAATTTTGGAATCCTTATATGGAACATGGGAAATAGACTTTTCCCACTTACATATGATGTAAATTCCATGAGAATGGAGCATATTTGAACTTTCTGTATTTCCTAATTTTCCACATGAATATTTTGCATAGTTGTCTATTTCCTATTTCAAATTGTAAAATAAACCTCTGTAAGTGTGGCTTTATAATCAAGAAATAACAACCATATAATTTAAATGTATTCGTTTATAAAAAAGTAGAGACATGAATGGCTTTATTCAAAACATAAACATTTTATTTTCTGTTTAAGGGACTACATTAAAAGTAGTCCCTTGCATACTGGAATAATACTGGGTAGTGGCTGCTCACAGGTCCTTTTCTTCTGGTGAAGATCCTCTCTGCTGAGAGATGTTCATCACTGGGGCTACTCTCCAGGATCAATCTCAGAGTCTTTTACTTTGGAAAGAGCTTCTCTTTTTGCAAAACTGGCTCATATGAATCAATAAGCCACGAACTTGATCATCCTTAGCTCTCATTTGTGGAACAAAATTGTAACAGTACAAAATACATTGCATTCTAAGTCATTAAAAAATATGCAGAGTGAGCTATAAAATGAGATTTTACTTAATAGCCTTGTATTTTATGTAAAAAAAAAACATTGCTTTTCAGGAAAATACCTTCCTTGGGTTCTCAAAATATATTTTTCTATTCAGCTTTGAAACAGTGGTCAATTTTGTCTGCAGTTGAACCAGCTATTAGCCCTCTCGAGAGTCAAAATTCTCTTCGTTTTAGGATCAAATTTGTATTGCCTTGTTCCACGGAAGAAATAGAAAAATCCTAGAAATAAAACAAAAGAGATTTACTATGTTATACAAATGATTTCTAGGTTTAACTTGAATTCTTAGAAAACCCAAGTCATTTGGGAGAACAAATATTTTTGGCGTTTCCTGTCAAAATAACAATACGGATGCTTTTCTATGGCAATGATATATAGAAGAAGAAGAAAAAAATACACACACACACACACACACATACACACACACACACACATACACACACATATTCACTTACCATTTTTCTGGAAAACAGCATCAACTTTGTTGCCAATTCCAGGAAAGCCATCTGCTATCATTTTGGGATAACCTGCATCCATGGATCGTTTATATTCATCATACCTGGTCAAAAAATAATTAAAAGTGTCAGATCCATTCGTTAAATGTGTAGCCTTCTCAAAATCATTACAGAAAATTCACAGCAAGACTATAATATGAACTTTTCTGTTTGTTTGTTTGTTTTTTAGCTGAGCCATCCTGCTACCTGTTGGCAGCTCAGCGGCTGCTCAGCTCGGGCTGGATTCGAACCGCTGTTGCTCAGAGCTCAAACTCTTGAGCGAGCTCTTAACAAACTGAGCCACTCGGCCGGCCCCTATAATATGAACTTTTAATGTCATAGATCATGTGTAAAATGGGGAGCAGGATGAGGTGAGGTAGGATGTTGGGTGGATTAGAAGATTTATAAGGTCCTTCTGAACTCCAGCATCTAATTCTAAGTCTTCAGTCGGTGCCACACAATGTCCCTATTAAGGTAAAATGTGACTAAACATAAGTTTCTGTTGGCTGATGTAGCTCTACGAAGATGAATGCCCTCCTTTTTACATCATCTTTTTCAAATTCAGCTCCAAGTGCTCCCTGGATTCCTGGGACAGGTAGTGCATAATACCCGTAATTATTGATGAAGAGGTTTGGAGGCTGGATGCCATTCATAGAAAAAGCAGCTAGCCAAGATAATATGAGACTCATTTAAAAATGGTTCAGTGTAGAACTTTCTCTCTACCTTGGGGGAACTGGTGCCCTAATATTTTCTGCACTCAGTCTTTACCTCCAGTAATGGTGAGCAACAAAGAAGTATGTTTTTCCAGTATCTTCCTGAAAAACAGCAGCATCGATATTTTTCACACTTCTGGGGAAGCCAAAGGATCTGTAGATGCTCCTGGGGTACCCAGGCAGCACATCCTGCCCTCGAACAGCCCAGTACTGATTACCTGCCAATCAAGAAACGGGGGTGAAAATACTGCAGACAGTGAACAGATTGCCAGGTAAGTTCTTAGACTTACACGCTAGAGCAGTGTCTTGCCTACATATTAGAATTATCTCAGGAGGTTTTTAAAAATACTGATGCGAGTATCCTACTCCAGACCAATTAAATCAGTATATTTTTTAGAGTTTCCCAGATGATCCTAGTCTGCAACAGCTTTGAGAATGACTGGTTTATGAGGTTGGGGGCTTCTTTCCAAATGTCCAAATGACTTGAAAGTTCATGATGCCACCTCAGTGATAGTCAATTCATAGTATTCAGGACTTCTCATAGTTTAATGTACATACCAATTACCTGGGAACTTTGTTAAAATTCAAAGTCTGGACTGGGACCTGACAACATGGATGGACCTTAAGGGCCTTATGCTAACTGAGATTCTGTATATCTAACAAACTCCCCAGGTGATGTCGACACTACCAGTGTGAGGACCACACTTTGTAACAAGGCTGCAGGCTCACCATGTAGCTGACCAGTGTGGGACAAAAGAATATCCATTTAATATTTGTATTAAAATAGCTCTAGGGAATCACACAGTTCAAATATTTCTGTTCCAGCCCTCTACAGTACTAATCCAAGTCTCTCAGTTTTATTTCTCAGCTCCCCCAGCAATGTGGAGATGGTTTAAAATGCACAAATAGTTTTTACAGAAAACACTTTCATAAGTCCAGATTCATAAACAAGCCAGAAAATTTATATCTCCAGTTATATGCTTTTAATATTAAATGACTTAGAAATACATTATGAAATTCTTAATTAAGGTGATGGACTCACATTGATTTGGTGAGTCTTAGATTTTTTAAAATTCCATGGAGAGAGTTAGTATTCTCTTGTATCTCAGCCAATGAAAAAAAGAATTCATAGAAACTGAAAAATAAGTGGAAGCATTACCTTTAAATAACCGGACTTCATCTCTATGAGCAACCTCATAAGCAGCTTGAAGTCCATTTGCCAGATTTGGCCAGAAAACAGCAATGAAATTGAGCTCAGCTTCAGGGTAGAAAGAATTTACGCGCATGTAGAACCTGGTTTGAAAAAAAAAGAAAAAAAGGTTGTGATCTAATCTACAGCAAGCGCTGGCTGACATCCATCTCCTTCTATTGCTGGCACTAGTGGTGTGCTGGTAAATATTTAACATCCGACTCTCTAAGGTGGGGTGGGGAGGAGTCCCGGTTTGTAGCACTTGCTTGTTTCCATAGTGAAAATACTCCCACCATGGCAGATTTCAAAACATGTGCAGTAGTGGCTGTTGTATAGGATTTCTACCATACAAATAGCATTAGGTATAAACAACCTCAAGAACATAAATCAATAGTAAAATGTAGCAAATTAAGTACAAAGAGGTGAGTTTTTATTATTTTTATTATCTTTGGTTTAAATGCAATTGTAAGTTGATATAATTTAACTTTTAATAATAGCTGTGTTTAACAACCAGCTGGAAAATTCTCAAAATTTAAAAATCAGCTTTGGTGAGCCATTGGGATCCCCCCTGCAACATAGCACTGGATGGAACACAATACAAATGAATATCCTATCCACATTAGTGTACACTTCCAACATATAGGCCATTTACCTACGTCATGCCCTACCTCATAAAAATCCTGCAAGGGAATATTATTCATTTTACAGATGAGAAATTAAGGTCAAGGAGGCAAAAGGAGGTGTCTAAGGCCATGCAGCTGATAAGAGGCAAAGGTTAATTTTAAACTCAGATCTGGCAGCCAGTCTTTTTATCTTGCTTTGGTTGGTGGTTAACAAAGCTGATTCTATAGCCCATAAGGACTGGGAAATGGCAAAGCATAGACTGTCGTGTGGGCTGACAGAAGAGTTTCCAGATTCCAGGCCAAGGGAAGACTATGATGACCTTGGCAGTCAGAAATCTGACTTCTAGACCTTGTAACAGTTATAGTAACAGTTACTATTACTGTTTCTAGCATTCCATGTCTTCATGGCTTGGTGACATTTAAATGATCTCAGTGTCCTTTCAGTTCCTGCAAATCCTAGACTTTGTGCTGTTCCTTGGAGTAATCCTTCAAATACTTGCTTGGATAGATGTGCCCTGCTATACTAAGAGCTTTCCTTAAACACCATGTATTTCCTTAGAAATCCCCAGCATTGAGCCACACCCTAGGTGGTTTACATCCAAGCTTATCTTATACACTCAAAAATAATTAAGAAGAGGATGAAAAGCATTACCAGCCAATACCCTGCATTTTGGGGTAGATATAAACACAAAGTAGTAAAACAGCATCAACAACACACTAAAAAAAATAGCTGAAGAGAAGCGAGCCTTTCTGAGCACCCCTACTTTCTATGTGCTGTGGACTGTATCATTCAGAAAAAGACAATATTATTATTTTGCCTGGTCCTTTAGAAATCAGTATGGTACACAGAACAGGCCTGTTCCTCCCGTGTGAGGGGACCCACCCCAGCCTTTTTGAGGCCACATGCTGCAGAGGGAGACCTAGGGTCTTCTGAGGTGGGAAGCACATTGTGATTGCTCATATCCTCCCAAGAGAGGGGGCTCATGAACTCATGGGGATTCCTCCACAATGGCTCCCACCCTTCTCTAGGCCTCTGGGGGCAACAGAGTCCTATCATGATCACACGCTTTGGGAGGATTATCTTTTACAGGATAGAAGGAGTGATACTTAAAAGGTATCAGCATGATGGTGCTATGAGAAGGACTGATTTCTCTTAATAAAGTACTAACATACTGATCAACATAAAGAGTGCCATAAATGAAAAGAGCCCTGGAGTAGGGGTCAGAAGTGCAATTACTGCTCTGTTACCAAAGAACTCGGTGCCCTGAAAGGGTCTCTTTGTTTCTCTCTGCCTTACATTATTGATCTTTAAAATGGGATTATATTTACTGGTTTTCCGCTTCAGTGGTATTTCTTTCTGAGAATCAAATGGCAAAATGCATGTGGGAAAACAAAGTTGTTATAAACTCATTAGGTTTTGCAAATGCAAGCAAGTGCTATCACATAATTGTGTATGTAAACAATTATAAGATAAATAACATGTGAAGCACAGTAGTGGCCCATAGGGACCCATAGTAGTGAGTGTTGTTATTATTACAAACACAAAACTAGAAGAATTGATGTCTTACTTGTCTTTGAAGAACATCACTTCTCCCCGAATCGTAGTTATAGCATCAAAGGTTAGCTTACTGTCACATACTCGTGGGGTTTGTGGACCTGTTGGCAGGGTGGGATTTTTGGAAGGTCCTAAAGAAAAAAGGGATCTTGAGTTAGTGCCGCCTGGCACTGGAAACCTACATAAACGATGAAGGACTGCTTCTTAAAAGATATAGCTAGTGGCTGTTGTAATGGCCCCTTGTCTATGATATTTTTCTTTATACTCACCGTATATGGCCTGGATACCATTGATGTCATCTTGAGAGAGCTGAACATCACCACTGAAGATGTAGCTGGGGAACATTAGTGCCCCAATATCAGAAGAATGAGCGAGTCCAAGGGAATGGCCCAATTCATGAGCAGCAACATGATACAAGTTGTAATCTAAAAGTGCCAATAAACCCATTTGTAATTAATTGAAATGTTTTCAGTTATGAGATATTTAATTTAGAAGTAATGTACAACTCTATAAAGACTAATGCTCATATTTTCTTTATAGCTTTTTAAAATATATAAAAAACTTTTTTTTCCTAAGGCAAGAGGGATATATTTATTAATAGTGAAGAGATAGGTTAAAACCTAAACTCTATGATTATACTGATACAATTAAAAGGCAAACTCAGTTGACTGAGAGCCTAGCACAGATTCATCAATCTTGTCAGTGAATAGATGACACATATTATTTCACAAAGAAGCAATAGAGATCTATTAACATGATTTTTTTTCCTGTTTATAAAATTGTTATATGCTTAATGCTGGAAATTTTGGAAAACACGTATAGCCTCTCCTCCCTTAAATTACACGCAATCTTACTACCACTATTAAATCTTGGTGTGTTCTTCTAGTAAAAAAATTCTATATAGATACCCACAAGTAAAACATTAGAATTTTCAACATTTTTCTTAATAGAAATTTTAAAGTGGCCTATTTGTAGCCAATAAGTTGTTGTTGCTAACAGAAATACACTTTTCTTACTCTTTTCTAAATGTATTATGAATTTTCTAAGTGGTAGTAAAAAAAAATGCTTCCATTGATGTATTCTTTTAGTTAAATCAATCAATTCTTACAATGAACCCTGAAGGGATGGGGGAATTGAGAAAGGCAAGACTGGTTGACTTACCTGTGAAATCGTTAGTCCACCTTTCATCTTCATCAAAATGAACATCCCCTCCAAGACCTGGGCCTGGTTGAAAAGCATGAGCAAGGACTTCTCCAGGTCCATCAAAGGGAGAATTGTCACCATGATCTGCAGGAAACAGAATTCAACAAATGACCCTCTTCATTCTTATTTAGGCTAACAGAGGAAGACAAGCATTTGCTTTGCTAAAAGGACAACAGATTTCCATCAAATATGACATAATTTCCCCCCCTTAAGCCCATAAAATCAACATTCCTCTCAAGCAAGGAATTCTAGCTGTAAAGGTGAAGAGATTTAGTGGCCAGATAAAGTTAAGCTGTTGAAGTTTTGCTGTAAGAAGAGCTTACCTCTCCAAGCAAACGATATCATTATGTCTGCTTGACCCTTAAAGACCTTGGTGAAGGTCAGGGGTGACACATTACTCCAGAGTTGAAAGGCTTTCTCAATGGTATTGTCCACAACTGCTCCCGGCAAATCTGGTGTGTAATTTTCAATCCTTAAAATGAAATAAATTAGAGACACATAGGACCTCATTTCTTATGGCTCTGATGGGAAATAGCATTCTTACTTTGGTGCTCAGTTTGGTTACCTGTAGGTCAGGTTTGTGTGCTCCCAACGAGGGTTCCCCTCAGTGAGGACAAATTGAGCTACGTCAGGCACCCCACATCTAGCCTGCTTCATTACATTCAGGGTTTCAGCATTTGGCTTCCCAGTCACTTTCAGCCCAAAGAATTTCTGCATTTGCTTCAGTTTTTCAACCACTGGGGTAATCTTTCTCTGCTTTTTAATTTGTTTCTCATTACTCTTCAGGTTGTAGTAGTTTTCCAGGTATTTCTGGTGAAAGATACAATTACTGAAACAAAATGCGAAATCTTTCCCATCTTTCTAAAGATTTGACAGTTTTAGTTGAAACAGTGCTATTTTTAAAGAATATGCTTAGATTTCATGGTCCTTCTTACCTTTATTATTGGTGAAAACTGCAATTTCAGAGAAGAAATCTATTTACTATTAAGTACTATGAAGTCAGAGTTACAATTTGTAGTGCTAAATTTGCATATCATTCCTTTAGTTCCCTGTCACCTCCAGCTTGAAAAGGAGAGTCTATGCATGGCTAGATACATTCTGGGAGAGAGTGACCTTTCTAAGAAATATTTCTCTTTGTAAAAAATCCACTCTTGCGTAAATTTCACTATACTGCTACTACTACTTCGTTATCCTGTGGGGGAAATGCAAATGAAAGCTTTTGCATTTCTGGCATTGAAATTCAGCATTTACCTGGATCATCTCCATATCCTGCTCTTGTGTTTCTGAAGTCGCTGCTGGGAAGCCATGAGACCCCGTGCCCCAGAACAGCAGCAGCAGCAGCAGCAGAGGAAGGCTGTGCATGCTGACCTCTGTCTTCTTAGCTAAAGAAATCTGAAGGCTCCCCACCTGCCGGCTGTTCCAATATCTCAACTAGGGAACTCCCTCTATATATAGAGTCTTTGCACATCCTGAAAACCGGAAGTGGTCTGACTCATTTTTCATAACATCCTCTTGATTAGCAGTGAATAGCCTGAGCAATCATCAGAAGTGATGACTCCAAACAGATTATTTGGGTTTTCTTGGTGTAGCAATCTTATGATTAATATCAAACAGGACGTGTATGAAGGAGACATGCTGGACCATGTAAACAGCTGTTTTCTCCAATTCTTTCCTATTTGAGAAAAGCCTTATTATATAGGACACAGATCACAGAGTACTCCATGGCCTTTTTAAAAAAAAAATAGGCTTTTGTTACTTGATTCTGCTGGTTGTACAGTGCTCCGGGCTGTAAACACACTTTGCTTCTAGGGCACAGGGCAGAATTGCTGACACAATATGCTCTCTGGCTGTTCAATACCTGTACTGACTAAAGTCTATTTAGCTCCACAGGCATTCACTTTGGGGTGACTCTCCTGGGTTCATAGGTTTACCTTTTGACTTTGCTAAACTGTCCAGTACACTAATTGCATAGCATGATTGTTTCCTTTAATCTTTATTCAGGCCCAGGATCTGAGAACCTTGGCTGAGAAGACCATAGTCCACAGGTGGGGTATGTGATAACTCCCTGCCCTGTGTAAACCTTGCTCATGGGCATCATGGGAAAAGTAGGATCCTTCTCTGAAACCTGTTAGAATGTAACAGGTGAGGCAGGGCTGGCAAAAGATCAAGTGTCAGTCTGGGGTCTTATTTTTAATTCTCTTTCTTCCCCTCGACGTGAGCACATCTTTGCTCCTTGAGGCTAGGCAGCAATTATTTATTCTTTCATGTATGCATCCATTCATGTATTTATCCATTCAAAAGATCCTATTTAGTACCTTCTGTGCATCAATTACTATAGAAAGGGGCTAACTGGTAAACAGACATCTTATGGGACACCTTAAAATATCTTTAACAGAAGTCTGTATAAAGTTGCACAGATTAGTTTTACCAGAAAGTTCTGGAATAGGAGACACTCTGGAGCTGGTCCAGGCCTAAGTTTCCTGACCTTCATTAATCTTCCTACCGCCATCACAATTTTTGCCAAAATTTGCCAATACTAGTGCCACCTCTAGTACTATTTTTGTATTTTTCTTTGAATTTACTTTGAAAGTTTTGCCTCATTATAGGTTGTCACATCTATGAAAACATAGTTTAATGAGCTATTATTTTTGTGTGCACAGTAAAATAAATACATAGCTATGTAATGAAAAAATATGTACATTCGTGTATTCCTGTTCCACATCAAACATCTTTGGTATCCTTTCCACTCTTAGAGAGAAAAAGTTAGTCTAAATTAGTAGTTTCCTCTACTCATGTACCCACCCTCCTTCTTTTAAAGTGTTTAAATGAGACAGAAAGTAGAGAAACACTTGCCTGCCTTCTTCCGCTGGCACCTTATGATGTCTCCCACCTTTCCCACCATGTCAGGCTTCCTTTCTCAGGACTTTTTTCACCTTACCAATTTGTTTTCCTCCCCACACTAAGAACAGCATCATATGCATATATGTTGTTTCAGTATATGTTGGACTAACATGAAAGAGCTTATTTCCTCCCTAATCACTTAACCACAACTTCCTCATCTAAAAGGAGTAATACTCATATGCAAGTTCAAAAGTATAAGAGGAGGGCCGGCCGAGTGGCTTAGTTGGTTAAGAGCTCACTCAAGGTTTTGAGCTCTGAGCAACAGTGGTTCGAGTCTGGCCCGAACTGAGCTGCCGCTGAGCTGCCAACAGGTGGCAGGATGGCTCAGCTTAAAAAAAAAAAAAAGTGTAAGAGGAATTGGAAGAAGCTTTCCCAAAAGTGAAATCTTTTCCTTCTATTGCACTTCAGATAGAGAGGTTGGGGCAGCAACCAAAGAACATTAGCAATTAAAGTGACTCCAGCACAGGCAAGGAAAATCGTGAAAGGAGCTCTTTATATTGGAGGTTGAACACAGAAGGCTTTCAAAGTCAACGGGTGGCAGACACACCCTGACTATTAGGAAATCTGGTCAGTGTGATGAAGTTGCCTCCAGCTCTGGGGCCTGGGAAACAAAAGTTAACCCAAGAGAACAGCATTGTGACCATCTGGGACTGGGTAAGAAATTACATAAATATTCTGGAAGACTCTCATAATATGTTCAATCTGGTAAGAGTCTATATGTCCTACAATTTATAAATTTTCAAACTTTTTGTAAACTACTATGTCTTTTAAACAAAATCCCTTTTGGAAACTTAATTTGTAAACCAAATGAAAGAAAAAGCGCACTGATGGAAGTGGGAAATGGGGCCTGGGAGTCCTACTTACGTCACTCCCACTTTGTGCCTCATCCCACTTTGTCTAACAAAGTCCCAGATTTCTATGGAACAATGAGGGTTCAGTGGAGTGAAGCTCAAAAACTGCTTATCTTGTCCGGCACCTTGATTTTTCAGACGAAGAAACGACAGAGAAGTTGCCTACAGGCTCAGGGTTACACCACTTTGTGGAAGGGACAACAGGGACAGAGTGTGTGGGTGGGGTGGGGGTGGGGGCGTGAGGGGTTGGGCAGATAGAACTTAGACTATTTTCTCCTGGCCTGAGTCTAGAGCTCTTGACTTGAAAGCTCTGAGTGTTTTGTTACAATTTATAAGGATGTTAATGTGGATTGGAAACTGGTTACTTAAAACAGCTTTCTGTTAAATTTCTTCCTAAAGTAACAAATAATTTTAAATTAAGTTTTGGTTAAGCAGCAAGATTCAAAGTTTCATATGGTCCCGAATCTTGGAATTTCCAGTTAGGTATTCATAGCAGAATACGTGTGACTTCTGGGCTGGTGCTAGTGTGCAATCTACTTGAGAGTGAAAAAGAAAACATAAAAGTCTAAAACAAAAATTTGGGGATTAAATCCTGTATACAAAATCTCAGCAATGCCTGGACTGGGCATAGTTTCCAAGAAACTCAAAACACGTTAAAATTGTGTTGCTCTTCACAACTGGACGTTTTATGTCTGGAAGCTTCTTCTTTCCCCATAATCCACTTTTGGATATAATTTTCTGGAAATCACTCCTCTAACTTTTATCTCTTGGGAGAATGACAGGCTTAAGAGGCTCGTGTGGCTGTGTCAACTAACTCCTAACTATTTCCAAACAGGCAAATTATTTCCACGTTTTTCCTGGTCACTTCATGCTGACTGCTCTGTGAAAGGACTCAAATACGTTTGTATTTTTCCACATTAAATTCAATCTCGGGATTCCAATTTTGATTCATATTTTTTATGCTTGGAAATTCAATGTGTTCAATTTTATAATTCAATTTGAGTGTCAGATATATTTTCTATTTTTCTGGTCCTACAAGTCTTGAAAAGTTCTTTAGCCAGAGATTTCAAATATTTAATGCTGTTTTGTTTTGGGAGTAACGCAAATAAATGATTGTCTCACCCCATGTATTTTCCTACCTATGGTCATGTGGTAGATTTACAGATACTTACCAGACACTTTGTACCTGCTGGCTACCTCAGTCCTCATGGTTACCCTCCAGGTAGAAATGATTGACACAGCAACCCCAAATCACATATTGACAGGTGTCTGTTTGACTCCAGTCCAGCTCTCAGCAGTCTTCATCCTGCTCCTGTCACCAGACATGAGAAACATACTCTCAGTATAAAAATTTTTCCTCCTTAACAGAGAAACAGACGTTGTGAGACACTAAGCTGGTTACATTACTTCTGTCATGTCTACAATCTCTCCATGTCATCACCCTGTTGCTCCTCAGGCCTGAAAGAATCTTCCTCTTCAAGTTACCACCCAATCACCCTTATTTCTTTTAGTAAAATACATGAAATTGCAATTTACAGTTACTACCACAACTTAGTAAGTATTTACAAATGATTGTTGAATGAACTAATGAATGAATGAATAAATCAATGAATAAATAGATACTAAATGACATAAATATTGGGTTGTCAGAAAAGTCATGACATATTTTTTTCTATGTTTTTCATAGCAAAAATGCATCATGACTTTTCCAATAACCCAATAAAAGGGCCATTTCTTTTTAGGCTCAGTTGCCTGCAAAAAGTGTTATGCCCATGGATAGGCTTTTATTTCTTTTACTTACTCTCCTAAGGTTAACATTATTTAAAATATCATAGGAAATTTTTGGCTATATACACTGAGTGGAGATTTTGAATGAAGCACTAAACATTTACTTTTGGCTATTTGCCTATCATGCTATAACCATTTAGTCTCTGATTATTTTGAGCACTTTATTGATTTATTTGCCAATAATATTTTCTAATCTGGTTAATTTATTAGGCATTCTGGAAAATGCTTACAGGAATCACATCCTTGAGACCATCCTACAAACTTTTGCAGCTCTAGCTCTCCTTTAACCAAGTTCAAACCAAGGGCCCTGGTGGGAATAAGTGCTGCTTATACCATGGCTCAGCACAGACATGTTGGAACCATTCTCTCCTAGACTTCATGTATGTACAGATGGATTTGAGATACGTGAGGAAGCTCAGGACATCCCTGTTAGATGTTGATAATGCAGCAATGCTCAGACTATGACTTGCTTGTTTGGGAGTCTCTGATGTATGTACCCATGAAAGCTGCAGAATTATTTTCTATGATTCAGGTCTCAAATTATGTTCTTCTGCTGCAGAATTTTTCTGTGTTTTCGACAAAGTAGAATGTTCACTAAGCCACTAGCTTTTTACCCAGTTTTTGAAAATTTCTCTGAACTACTCATGCCCCGGCTGTAATTCATTGCAGTGGGAGCTGAGCTAATGGGCTTTTCTGAGTCAGTCAACACTTATCAGTGCTGGCTAAAAAAAGTAGCATTTAACATTTACTTAGTCCTCAACAACTTTAACATGCATGACTATTTTATCTTCATAATAATCCTGTGGAATAGTTAGAGTAGCTACTATTATTTCTATTTCATAGATGAAGAAACTGTGGCAACTTTTC